CAGCTTCCTGCTCCCCTCCCCCTCCCACCACTAACACCCTGCAGAGAACAAGCGGCAGACTGGGTGGGGGCCCAGGTGTCTGCGGGTGCCACACCTACCTCCACACCCCCAAACGTAGCTCACGCAGGCACAGGCCCCGAGCTGAGCCTCCTCCCCCCACCCCGCCCCCTCCCCCAGAGGCCTCCTCGTGCTCGGCCCCAAACCACCAGCAGGGCCCAGCCCTGGCTGGCACCCAGGGCTTACCCAGTTCTTGCCACGAGACAGCGGGTGGAAAAAGGAAGAGGGGTTTGTGAACAGGGACAGTAGTTGCTGCACTGCAGCCTACCCAGGCCAGGCAGGAAAGGCAGCCTTCCCCAGAGGACGGGGAGAGTGGCCAGTCACGGTCTACCTTGACCCTCTCCACCCCATTCATCTTGGGAAGCACCAACTCTCAATTAAGGCCTCTGCAGGGCTTTACCCTCCAAAGAGCCAGCCCTGAGCTCCACTCTCCTTGGGCTGGCCCAGCAGCCCGAGTAGGCCAGGCCAACCAAGCAGGCCTTTCTCCCTGAGCTCCTCTGTGCCATGACGGCCCTGGACTGGCCCTTCAGGTCTCAGCCCATAGAGCATCCCCCCTCCCCTTTGAAGCTCTGCCCCAGCCCAGAGCCTACAAGGACCCTAGGACTTCCCTCCCTCCACCACACCCCAGTGACTGCTAGTGCACCTGTTGGCTTGGCAGGGATGGACCACAGGCTAATTAGGGCTTGTAGAACATGTACAGTCGGCTATACATACGATCATCCTCCCCACACCCAACACACTCATACCTCACAAACAAACAGGTTCCTCAGTCGTAAGTACAGGGCACCTTCTGGAGCCCCAGGAACGACAGGACACAGCTGGCCCCCGAAGGGCTCACCACGGAGGGCCCTGCAGCCCTCCTCCTCATCCTCTGAGGTCCCAGCCTGAACCTCAGCTCTGTGTTGTCGGGGGCCAGGCCACATCCTGGCCACTGGCCTGCCTCCAGGGGAATGTGGGGGTTTTGCCATGTCTCCCTAGGGTCCCCTACCCGCTTGAGCCTATGGCCACAGAAGTGACCTCCAGCAGCTGAGCTCCTTGCCCACCAGAGTGCTGCCTCTACCCCAGACTAGACAGGAAAGAGGGCACCCTCCCTGCTCTGCCCCTCAGCAACAGGATGAATCCAAACAGTGTGCTGTGTGGCACAGGGCACTAAGGTCTCCTCGTTCCCTCCCCCTTAGAATGTGGGGCTGAGGGACCACCCAAGGGCAACACTGCGGCTCCTATCCTGAAAGCTCCTCAAAAAGCACTTCCTCCTGCAGCCACGTCCCTGCAGCCAACCCCACTGAGACTGCAGGCCTGCAGGGTGGATGGACAGGCAAACACAAACCACGTAGACTGCAGGCCTGCAGGGCGGGTCGGCGAACACAGACCTCGAGTTCTGTCATCTGCTGGCAGCACCCCATCACCAGTGCCAGGCTCTGACGCCTGGAGGGCTAGCCCAGGCCAGCGTGTGCTGTGGGGAGGCAAAGAAGGATGGCAGCCTCCTGTGTTCTCCCACCATGATCCCCACTGTACATGACCAGCCCCAGCCAGCTCTGCTGCCTGGCGGGGAGCTCAGCTATAGGAAAGGAGAAGAAAAGAAGGAAGGACAGCACCTTCCCGCTGCACCAGCCACCCAACCGCAACATGCAGATGGCTCCCCTGGGCCAGCCACAGAGGCAGGACATGCAGGGCCCTGCAGCTTCCTCAGTCACCCTCCCCAACCTCCCCTGCCCATCAGACCAGAGAAGCTCTGATCCAAGGCCTTGGACTCCTTCCGGCTGGCAGGGTGGAGGCTTGGAGGCAGTTGAGGCCATCCCAAACAGCCCCAACCCGCTCTACAGAGAGGGCAGGAACGTGGGTGGAGACAGTAGACGGAGCTCAAGAATGCAGCCAGCTCATCACAGTCAGGATGAGAGAGGCGAGGCTATGGGGTAAAAGGTCTTTTTCTCAGAGGCAAGGGGTCCAGCCCCTCCTCCCAGGCAGATGCACACTTGGCTACTGGAGCTGGAGGGCCACTAGCCGATCAGGGCCTGATCAAGTGCATCTCCTGCTCCCAAAGAAAACTCAGCACTGGCCATGCTGTGATCAGGGCCCTTCTGGGCCAGGGGCCAGACAGAGGCAGTCTGTCTAGTCCTGATGCCGGCCCCAGGGCACAGAAGGTGATCCCTGACTCACCAGGTGAGGGGCCTACAGATGGGCCACTGCCGGCCACCATCACTCTCTGAGGTAAAAGGGTCACAACCAGAAGGCATTTACCTTCTCATGGCCCCTCCCCACCCTTCTTGAGAGGTTGCCAGCTGGTAACCATTAGCAACTGGGATGCTGCCTCAGGCAGGACTCGTGGATCCTCAGTACTCTGGTCCTGCAGCCAGCAGCTCCAGACAGGATGTCCAGATCCAGGCCAAGACAAGCTATCTGTCACTCCCAATCCCCAACTCAAGAGACCTTGCCCTGAAGTCCTAGCCTGACAGAAGAGTGAGGGTCCTCTACCTTCTCAGAAGTGCCTGTTGGGTCTATGCCTAGAGAGTCCACACGCCTGCTGCTCAGTCATTAGTGAGACATTATTTCTAGGGGCCTCCTTCGTGCTACAGCTTCACATGTGTGTACTGATTACATCTCACGGCAGCCTGGAAGGTTAGCACGACTCACTCCCACCTCAGATGAGGAAACTGAGGCACAGAGAGCCAAATGACTGGCTGGAGGTCACAAGGCCATCAAAGGGCAAAGCAGAGACAACTGACCCCCATGCCATGCTCCTCTGCTTCTGCTTCTTCCCCCCACCACCACCCGCCCTGCCAGCTGGCTCTGCCCTCAGCCCATAACCAGGGTCCCAGTGTATAGGCTTGTTCTCCACAGGGACGAAGGAGTCCTTCTAAGGGATGCCTGGGGCAGGGAGGCCAGCAAGCAGCTGACCAGCTCAACCCCAGAAGGTAGTGGTTAGAGGGCTCCATGGCTCCCCAACCCCATTGCAGTAGACACCTTATCACTCCTTCCTGCCAGTTGTGGGGGGACACCTCGGGATCCAGCCTTTTCTACCCTGTCCTGACAGTGCCATAAGACCCTGTCCTGTGCAAGGGCCACACACACAGAGGTCTCTGCCCTACATGTAGCTCCAGCAGTGAGCACACACACGTCACAGCCAACTTGTCAGGGAGCCCACTCTGCCTCTTCTCTCTGCCCACCTTCAACTCCTCACCCCACTGCCACCATGCCTCCCACCTGGCCTTTGCCTGCAATCTCTGCCAACCCAAACCCTCTCCACACTACCCTTATGATCATCAGGGTCATCATCAGCTGTTTCTGCAGCCCCTGCCCAGGCACCCAGCCCAAGGCCCCTCACACCAGGACAGCCCTCAGCCAGCCTTGCTTCCCTGGATCCTCAGGCACCCTCTGCCCCAGGTGGTATGGCCTCCTCCATACCCCTCACAGGTGCATCAGTACAGACAATCTCCCTCTGTGGGGCAAGACAACACTGACAGCCTGCACACAGGTGGGTGAGGACTGTGTGATCCTTGTAAGCGAGAACTCCCTCTCTAAAGGAAAAAACAGATGCTCATGACTGACAGTGCCATAAGACATACACTTGGATAGACCTCAGCAGAGAGAAGTGCATGCTGAATACGAGGGCACTGAGGAGGATCTGAAAACGAAGAAGATGCAAAGAGGCTTCAGGAAGTGTGGGGTGAGGAGGGAGGTTCCAGCAGAAGAAACACAAAGAGGAGAAAAGTCCAGGTCCTGTGTGGGGACAGTGACAGCCGGACTGACAAGAAAGAGGGTAACTGTAAAGGGAAGCTCAGTCCCACTTCCAAGCTCAAGGTCCAGCCCCTGCCTGATCACATAACTATCCCCACACACTGCCGGTCTGCAGCTGGGATCTAACAGCCTGGGTGCAAGTCCCAGCCTCGCTGAGCCGGCTCAAACCAGGCAGTCAACTTATCTGCGCCTGACTTCTCTACAGATGGGGGCAACAGCAGGGCAACCCCGGTGGGCTGCTGGAAGCAGTGAGATCATACACACAAAGGGCTGTGCGGGGCCTGGCACACCAAGCACACTCGCCATCGCTGCTGTCTCCAGGCTGTTGCTGATGTCATTGTCAGGCTCCGTTTTCTCCTACCCCCTGGGCTGAAGGGCTCTCAGACACGGGCGCTGACCCGGACAGGCCTCCCGAGCATGAGCACCCATCACCACGCTGATCCCCCACCCACGGCTTGACGTGCAGGGCCTGGACAGGCAGGCTAGTCCCCAGGAATGCTCTTCTCTCGACTCCCAACGCTTCCTCCTGAAATCCTCCCAGTTGCAAGCCAAACACTGCTTCTCCATGCAGCAAACCCAACTCCAGCCCCCCTTGGCCAAGGCCGGTGGGCGCTCCAGACGCAGCACCAAGGTCAGGAGCCGCAGGTCCGCGCCCCTGGAGCCACACACGCCGGCAGCCAGCCTAGGGCAGAGCCCGTCCCGCCCCACGGAGGCCGAGCAGGCCGGGCCCAGACTTCTCTCCCGGCCGCCACCAGGCCCGCGCGGCCACGCCGCCCCCAGCGGCCGCCCATTCTCCCCGCGGGCTGCCCAGCCGGCCCCGGCTTTCAGCCCCCGCCCGGGCCCCGTCCCGGTCCGTCGGCCCTCAGCCCTCAGCCCTCGGCTCCCGGACCCCGGCCCTCAGTGCCCCGCTCCAGGCCCTCAGTCCTCGGCCCCCCGACCTGGCCCTCAGCGCCCAGCCCTCAGGCCCTGGCCCTCGACCCCCGACCCTCGACCTTCAGACCTGACCTCCGGCGCTCAGCGCTCAACCCTCGACCCTCAGCCCCCCGGCTCTCGGCCCTCAGCTCTTGGCTTCGGCACTCACCGCGCGGGTGCGGCCCGAACGCCACCAGCACGAAGTAGTCCGCGAGCCGCGCCATGGCGAGGGACGCGGGGCGGCCCCAGGGGCGCGGGCGGGCTCCGCGGCTCGGGGACTCGAAGGCGGCACGCTCATGGCCCGGCCCCGGCCCTGGACCGCGCACCCCGGACACCCCGGATTCTCTCCGCGGCGGCGGCGGCGGCTGCGGCGGCGGCAGTGGCCCGGGCTCCCGCCGCCATCTTCCCAGCCAGCCGGCCCGCCCGGCCGCCCCGTGCGCCTGCGCGCTCTGATCCCTCCCCTGTGTGGGCGGGGCCTGAAATCGCGCGTCTCCATTGGCCCAGCGAGTGGGAGGGCGGCTTCCGAGAGCGGCGCGCCTCGCCCATCGCTGCCCACTTTGGGGCCCGGACGCCGCCCCTCGGGCCGGGAACCCGGACTGCGGGTCCTGCAGGTCTGAGGTCTTTGACCTGGGTCGGCCGTGGTGTCGGCGGGAGGCGTGGGCCCAGACCACAGCTGCTCTCGCCGTCGGGACTCCCTACACAGGGCCCCGAACCCCCACCCCTAGGAGCTCCCAATCTGGATATCGGGTCTCCAGGCTCCCCGCCCCGGGCTGTCCAGCTGGAGGAAGGCGGGAGGGGCCCGGGCCCTGCCCACCCAGCCTTTCAAACTAGAGGTCAGAGGAGGCCCAGGACTGTCAGAGGTCAGGGGCTGCCAGCCTGGCGATGGGGAACCGAGAGAGAATTCAGGCCCTGCCCCTTTAGGGGGGGTCCCTGGCTGAAGAGTCCCCATCTAGGTGAAGTGAGACATTTGACACATTAGCTTAAAAAAGGCACGCTCCGCCGGGCGCGGTGGCTCAAGCCTGTAATCCCAGCACTTTGGGAGGCCGAGGGGGATGGATCACGAGGTCAAGAGATCGAGACCATCCCGGTCAACACGGTGAAACCCCGTCTCTACTAAAATTACAAAAATTAGCTGGGCATGGTGGCGCGTACCTGTGATCCCAGCTACTCAGGAGGCTGAGGCAGGAGAATTGCCTGAACCCAGGAGGCAGAGGTTGCGGTGAGCCGAGATCGCGCCATTGCACTGCAGCCTGGGTAACAAAAGCGAAACTCCGTTACAAAAAGAAAAAAAGGCACGCTCATGTCCCCGGTAAAGAGCAAGTGTTTTTGTTTTTTTTTTGTTTGTTTGTTTTTGAGACAAAGTCTCACTCTGTTGCCCAGGCTGGAGTGCAGTGGTGTAATCCTGGCTAAGTGCAACCTCCAACTCCTGGATTCAAGTGATTCTCCTGCCTCAGACTCCCGAGTAGCTGGGACTACAGGCATGCACCAGCTAATTTTTGTACTTTTAGTAGAGACAGGGTTTCACTCTGTTGACCAGGCTGGTCTTGAACTCCTGACCTCATGATCCGCCCACCTCAGCTTCCCAAAATGCTGGGATTACAGGCGTGAGCCACTGCGCCCAGCCTGCAAGAGCAAGTGTTCTAAGCCTGTGAAGCACAGGATGCCATGGAATGTGGGGGGCGGGGCCCTCTAGAAAAGCTGCATCACCCAGGATCCCTGACGGTACCCACTTCTCTCAATGGCAGGGCTGGCCAGGGCCGCCCCTAAAGTGGCTGAGGGATGAACATAAGCCCAGGGCAGAACATGCTGGGAGAGAAGCTGCAGGAGCCAGCCTGGTGCAGCAGGGAAACTCCCCTGAGCGTGGCAGACCAAGGTCTGTTTCTTGTTATGTTTTGCTTTGTTTTTGAGGCAGAGTCTCAACCTGTCACCCAGGCCGGGGCACAGTGGCACAAACTTGACTTTGTGGCTGCAACCTCTGTCTCCCAGGTTCAAGCAACTCTCCCACCTCAGCCTCCCGCATAGCTGAGATTACAGGCGTGTGCCACCACACCTGGCTAACTTTTGTATTTTAGTTCAGACCGGTTTTCACCATGTTGGCCAGGCTGGTCTTGAACTCCTGACCGCAGGTGATCCACCCACCTCAACCTCCCAAACTGCTGGGATTACAGGCGTGAGTCACTGCACCTAGCCTGAATTTCTGTTTTTAAATGAGTTTGGGGCCGGGTGCTGTGGCTCATGCCTGTAATCCCAGCACGTTGGGAGGCCAAGGCAGGAGGACCATGAGGTCAAGAGATCAAGACCATCTTGGCCAACATGGTGAAACCCCATCTCTACTAAAAATACAAAAAATAGCTGGGTGTGGTGGTACACACCTGTAGTCCCAGCTACTCAGGAGGCTGAGGCAGAAGAATCGCTTGAACCCAGGAAGCAGAGGTTCAGTGAGCCGAGATTGAGACACTACACTATAGCATGGCAACAGAGCGAGACTCTGTCTCAAAAAAAAAGTGTGGCTGCTGTAAGAACTGGCTGAATGGCTGGCATCCATGCTCCATTCAGGGGCAGGAAGGAGCCAGCCCAGGAGAATGATGAATGAGACCAAACAGGACCCCTGCCAGGGTCCCCTCCCTGTCCCCAGGCACAGGCTACACTATACCTCTCCCCTCCCACTGTTGGTTTTCACAGGCTGAGAAATCATCTTTTTTAAAACTTAATTCTTTGTAGAGACAGGGTCTTAATATGTTGCCCAGGCTTGTCTTGAACTCCTGGCCTCAAATGATTCCGCTGCATCTGCCTCCAGAAGTGTCGGGATTACAAGTGTGAGAAACTGTGCCCCGCCAGAAATTCTCCTTTTTGCCCCAGCTAGCTCAAGTTGGTTTCTGTCACTTGTACCCAAAAAGATACTGAGCAGCACATTCCCACACCACTGAGCCTGGTGCAGGCTGGCAGTGTCCCTGGGCAAGTCAGGCTAGTACGTGACCGCAGAGTTGGCTCTCCTCTGAGAGACTACAGGGACACTACATCACACTCTCTCCACTCTCATGCCCTTCCACCAGGCCCTTGGGAATAACCATCCACAGTGGCTCAGATGGATGGATGCCCCCAATAGTACAGACTGACCCTTGGTGACACTATGGCCCCAGCCTTGGAGAGATGGACACCACCCCACATAGAGCCTAGTGGCCCAACAGACACCATGGTCCCCACTGCAGATGGATAGACACCCCTCATAGGACAGAGTGACCCTGGATGACACCCTGGCCCCAGCCTCAGGTGGATGGACAACCCCCCATAGAGCAGAGTGACCCTCGGTGACACCATGGCCCCAGCCTTAGGTGGATGGACACCACCCCATAGGACAGAGTGACCCTCAGTGACACTATGACCTCAGCCTCAGGTGGATGGATGCCTGCCATAAGACAGAGTGATCCTTGGTGACACCATGACCCCTGCCTCAGATGGACTGACACCCCCCCATAGAGCAGAGTGACCGACGGTGATGCCATGGCCCCAGCCTCAGGTGGATGGACACCCCCCCATAAGACAGAGTGACCCTGGATGACACCCTGGCCCCAGCCTCAGGTGGATGGACACCCCCCCATAAGACAGAGTGACCCTGGATGACACCCTGGCCCCAGCCTCAGGTGGATGGACACCCCCCCATAAGACAGAGTGACCCTCGGTGACACCATGGCCCCAGCCTTAGGTGGATGGACACCACCCCATAGGACAGAGTGACCCTCAGTGACACTATGACCTCAGCCTCAGGTGGATGGATGCCTGCCATAAGACAGAGTGATCCTTGGTGACACCATGACCCCTGCCTCAGATGGACTGACACCCCCCCATAGAGCAGAGTGACCGACGGTGATGCCATGGCAGCCACCTCAGATGGATGGCCGCCCCTCGCTACTGCCCAGCCTTCTGATTTCTGGTCAGCTGTCTTCCAGTCTGCACTCTCCTCGAACCTCTCATCCTACTTCCAGGGTCTCTGAGATGACTGGCTGCGCCTCACAGAGCAAACAGAAGCTACCGGGTGGGAGCATAAGCCCCCATCTTACATCCCTCACACCACCCCTCCCTCCATCACCACAGCTCTGCCCCACCCCCCCGCGACTCCTGATCTCAGGCCATTCATTGTCAGTGCCCACCGCCAAACTCCATATTTTTCTGTCTATGGATTCCTTGCTATCAGAGTCAAATAATAAAACACTCAAACAAAACCCTCCAAGATGCCAGCATGGTGGCTCACACCTGTAATCCCAGCACTCTGGGAGGCCGAGGCAGGTAGATCACTTGAGGTCAGGAGTTTGAACTGGGCATGGTGGCATGCACATGTAATGCCAGCTACTCAGGAGGCTGAGGAAGGAGAATCACTTGAACCCAGGAGGCGCAGATTACAGTGAGCCGAGATCTTGCCATCTGCATTCCAGCCTGCGCAACAGAGCCAGATTCCGTCTCAAAAAAAAAAAAAAAAAAAAAAGCCAGGTGCAGTGGTGGCTCATGCCTGTAATCCCAGCACTTTGGAGGATCAAAAGATCAGGAGTTTGAGACCAGCCAGGCCAATATGGTGAAACCTCTGCTAAGAATACAAAAATTTGCCGGGCGTGGTGGTGGTGGGGGCACCTGTAATACCAGCAACTCAGGAGGCTGAGCAGGAGAATCACTTGAACCTGGGAGGTGGAGGCTGCAGTGAGCCGAGATTGTGTCACTGCACTCTAGCCTGGGCGACAGAGTAAGATTCCATCTCAAAAAACAGAACAAAACAAAATTAAACAAAAGGCTAGGCACAGTGGCTCACCCCTGTAATCCCAGCACTGTGGGAGGCCAAGGCAGGCAGATCACCTGAGGTCAGGAGATTGAGACCATCCTGGCTAACATGATGAAACTCTCTCTACTAAAAATACAAAAAATTAGCTGGGTGTGGTGGCACGCACCTGTAGTCCCAGCTACTGGGGAGGCTGAGGCAGGAGAATTGGTTGAACCCAGGAAGTGGTGGTTGCAGTGAGCTGAGATTGTGCCACTGTACTCCAGCCTGGGCAACAGAGCAAGACTCTCAAAAAAAAAAAAAAAAAGATGCTGGGTAATACAGCACTTTGGGAGGCCGAGGTGGGTGGATCACCTGATGTCAGGAGTTCACGATCGGCCTGGCCAACATGGTGAAACCCTGTCTCAAATACAAAAATTATCTGGGCCTGTAATCCTAGCTACTCAGGAGGCTGAGGCAGGAGAACTGCTTGAACCTGGGAGGCAGAGGTTGCAGTGAGCTGAGATTTCACTGCTGCACTCCAGCCTGAGGGAATGGAGTAAGACTCTAACTAAAAAAAAAAAAAAAAAAATCCATAAATGTGACACACTCCCTGCCCCCCCAACTGGTCAAAATAAGTAAATAAAATATCTGCAGGGCATTCCTGCCCTCCCGGATCGGCCTGTGTGGCATGTGCTCGGCTCTCCTCAACTTATTCATCCAGCAAATGTTGACTGTGCTCCCAAGGCACATCAGCAGGAGGTCTAGTGGGTGAGCACAGGGGTGGGGGGAGACAGGCGGGGAAGCACAAACAGATGCAGAGGTGCTCAGGTAACCCAAGAAGGGGCCAGTCTCAGCAGCTTGGAACCAGTGACACCAAGTCCAAGACTAGTGGACAGTGGGTAGGCGAAAGCTTTGTGGAGAGCAGTCTGGCGCCACCTACCAGCATAAACATGTGCTCAACTTTAACCAGAATTTCTACTTCTAGGAAGGTGTCCTATAGACACATCTGTGGGCTCAAGGCAGCAATTCATGGAAAGACTGAAAATCAACTAAACTCGCATTAATAGCAGATGAAGTGAATCACAGAACACCTGCATGTTGGAGGAGAAGGTCCAACCATAGGAAAGCATGGGGTCTCCGATGTGAGGGCCACAGGGCTGTGACACCTGTCACCCACTGGTCACCAGGGTTGATTCGGCTGATGAGGCTGGGGGGGCTGGGGGGTGGGGTGGGGGGGGTGGCGAGTGTCCCATTCCTTCCCCACGTTCCCTGTGCATCCCCCCCGAAGTTGCATGCTCCGTTGAAGTCGAAGAGGATGGAGGATTGGGCTTTGAGTAGCTTCACTCCTCCACCAGGTCATCCGAAACAGCTCTTGGGAAAGAATGGGGCAGGTCTGCGCACACGGATATGTGTGACTCGGGCCGCGCCTTGGTATGCCCAGGTTAGGTCAGGTGAGGGCTCCCACCCAGACAGGGGTAGGGGTCTCGAGTGGGTGGCAATGTTGAGGGGAGTCTCACGTTTCACTTGCTTAAATTTATTTCTTTCTTTCTTTTTTGAGATGCAGCTTCGCTCTTGTTGCAGGCTCGAGTGGAATGTCCCGATCTCAGCTCACCTCCACCTCCACCGGCCTCCCACATAGCTGGGATTACAGGCTTGTGCCACCAAGCCTGGCTAATTTTGTATTTTTCGTAGAGACAGGGTTTCTCCATGTTGGTCAGGCTGGTCTCCAACTCCTGACTTCAGCTGATCCACCCGCCTCGGCCTTCCAAAGTGCTGAGATTACAGGCGTGAGCCACGACAGCCGGACACTTGTTTAAATTTCTTACAAAAATCGTGCTATACTTTGGTCCATGGTTGGAGCGGCGGGGGGAGGGGGTAGGTAGAGCCTTTTAGGAGCACAGCCCGGGGTTGGGGGTACCGCGACAGAGAGTGGAATGGACAGCCCGTTGTGGAACAGCACAGACTCGCTGGTCGGGCCGTGGGTCCACCGGTTCAGACCCTGGAGAGTGGGACCGCCCGGACTCGGGAAGTGGCCCCAGTCCGCCCCAGCCCTGGGATCAGCTCGGATGACTGCTCGTCCCCCAGAACTCCGCTTCAGTCTGGGAAAGTCCGGCCCCCGCGGGCTCGGGGCTGCGTCCCCACGGGAAGGCGCGGGAGTGAGGCTGGTGCCCCGCCATCCCGGGCGGTCTCCGAGCGCTCCCAACGGGATCAGGACCCTCCACCGCCCCTTCGCTGCGCCCGCGGAGGAGGACCACGCGGCTGCAGCCCCCCTCCCCGCCCCGGAAGGTGGCAGGGCTTGCGGGGGGCGGGGGGGGCCCGCCCAGTCCGCGCGTCCGGCTCCGCCCCTCGCTGGAAAGGCTACGTATTCAGCTCTCGAGGTGCCATCCCGGGCAGTCACTCCGCTCCAGGTCGGACCCCCAACCTGCCCAGCCCGCTCCGCCTGCGACCCAACCCGCGGCCGCCCCCAGACACTTTGCCAGAGTCGCGCCAGAGGCCTGCGCCCCGACGGACGCCCGTGCCCAGCTACCACGCCCACGCCCGGCGACCCCCGACCGCGGAGGGCTCCCCGAGGTGCTGGCGGAGGGGGTGGCTCGCCGCTCAGGCTGCCCCAACCTATCTGGCTCACTGCCACCTCCCTTGCAGCCCTGCCCGCCATGGCCCGGATCCCGACAGCAGCCCTGGGTTGCATCAGCCTTCTGTGCCTGCAGCTCCCGAGCGTGCTGTCCCGCAGCCTGGGCGGGGACCGGCGTCCAGTCAAACCCAGGTGAGTGCGGGTCTTGGGCCAGCCCACCCCTCTGGCCCCCCCTCCGGGAAGCAGAGTGCAGGGGGCATGGGTGCCGCCCTCCCTCCACCCCCACCTACTACTAGGGCTCACCTCCCACGCGAAGGCTCCCCCTCCCCCCCACCCAGGCCTTCCGCAGCGCCTCAGCAGGGCCAGAGGCCCTTCTTTCTCTGCCTCTCTACACAGGGCAGTTGCTTCTACACACACACACACACACACACACACACACACACACACAGCAGCCCCTCACCTGGAGCTGTGTGCTGGGGGAGGGGAGGCTGGCGATATCCCCAGGCTGTCACCACCCTAAAGGGAGAGCAGAAGCCAAGTCACCCTGAGCCCTGAGAGTCGTGACCGGCAGAGGCTGGGCCTCAGGGTGGCCTTTGCCCAAGGAGGTGCTGGCTCCCGGCACATGTGACCCAGGCCACTGAGATGGTCCGGGGGACCGGGCTTCCCCTGGCAGTGCTCCAGGGTGTGTGTGGGTGGGTGAGGGCCATGGGCTTCCCCTGGCAGTGACCCAGAGCTGCGTAGAGGCAAACGTGGGTAGGTTTGGGGTCTCTGAAAGTCTGAGTCATTGGGTTAACATTCTCCATCTGCCTCTGCAGGGAGCTCCCAGCCCGGACTTCCAGCAGCCTGCAGCCTAGTCACCCTGCACCCCGACCTGTGATCCGGAATCTTCACCAAGCCCTCCAGCCACAAAGGGGTGCTGGCCTGGTCCTTGCTATGGGTCAGCCTCTCCGGGATGGTGGTCACCAACACTCGGGCCCCCGAAGACACTTAGGCGCCCAAAGACCCCGAGCCCAGCTCCTTCGGGTGGGCTGTGTACTGGGTACCTGCCAGGTGCAGAATCTCAGCCACCGCCTGTGGCAGCTCATGGGACCGGCTGGCCGGCAGGACTCAGCTCCTGTGGACCCCAGAAGCCCCCACAGTTATGGCTGAGGTGGGGCTGGGCCACACGCCTGCCCATCCCAGCTTGGGTGCTATGCCCCCGTCCAGAACTGCAGCTGGGCCCCATCCCCAGCTCTGTCCTTCAGAGCTGCAGACAGCAGGGCCTGTAGCAAGAATACCTGCACAGTTTTGCACACATAAACCCTTGCACACGTGTAGACCAAGGCTGGTCTACATGCAGTGCTGGCACGTCAAAGAGCCTGAACACCCTGAAACTGTGAACACTCGGGGGACGGCTGCCAGACACAGTTGGTGGCAGCACCAGAGAGCAGAAGCCAGGCCCTGAACACACAGGGCCACCTCTGGGCCAGGAGGGGAGAGAGGCTAAATTAGCTGGAGTCGCCCCTCCACTGCTGGTCCAGTCAGACTGAAGCCCGGCCTTGTGCCCTTCCACATGCCTGCCTGGCCCAGGGTCCCAGCCTCTTCCTCCCCAAGTCTTTGAGACAGGAGGGGGAGTGCGGGGGCAGGGATGCTGTGGCCCCTGGGATTGGGTGAGGGGATGGTGGCCTTCCAGAGGTCATGAAGGGACCTCTGTGGCTCCAGCTGCCAACTCGAGCCCAGACTGAGGTGGCCATGGAGACCCCACCTGGATCCCCTGTGGGAGGCCAGGGAGGGGACCTTAGAAGTTCAGGAGCCACCCCAAGCCATTCTGGGACAGGGACACCCCTTCCTACACCAGGACAGGGCAGGGCTGGGTAGGGCAAGATCCCCCAGCCCAAATAGACCCACCCCACCTCAAGAGGGGTGAGACCCTTGTTGGCAGCCAGACAAGGGTGGGGATCTACAGGCAATACAGGCCCCCCACCACCACCCGGTGTGGGGAACCTGTGGGACCAGGTGTGGGGGCAGCAGTCGACTTGCCAAGAGCCAGGGAGGGCAGCCCCACCCCAACTGACAGCAAGAACAAGAACCACCGCCGGTCTGCCCAGGGGGGATGGGGAACTTAACACTGTGTGCCACTCAGGCTTCCCATTCATCCGGCAGAACACAGAGTTCAGAAAGAGTTCCTTCTGCTACTAGGCAAATGCTCAGCACTTGATTTGCAAATGTTTGCTAGGGTCACCATGATCACCCCAAATCTAGAGGCCACGGCACAGGGCTCAGGACATTCCCCCACAGGGCCACCCCTCAACTCTTGCCTCACAATGGGAGGGTCCTGGCCGCGCCTACCACGATCACCAGGTCCAGGTAACTGACCTGTGCTCCAAGAGGCCCTGTGGGCACAGTCCAGGCTTGTCCTGCCCTGTGGAGGCCTCCATGCCCTGGGAGATGGACTAGGATTGCAGCAGAGGTGGTCCGGGTGGTGGGCCACACAGCAAGGCCGTTAAGGCCAGCTCCCTGGGAGCAGTACTGGCTCAAGTGGGGTCTGAAGATGGCTTCTCTCGGGGAAGGGGTGCCCTGGGAGTGCCAAGGCCCAAGGTGCACAGGAGGCATGGCTGCCGAGAGGCTGCAGGATAGAGGGGCCTTGGCCTCAGGATCATGTGCCCTGTGGCCACTGAAGGGTGTCAGCAGAGTGCAGGGCATGAGGACAAAGGGAGGGGCATGGGGGGTGAAGGAGGGGGGCCTGGGCCAAGCTGGGGGCTCAGGAGCTCAGTATCCCCTACTCAGCCCAGCCAAAACCCTCCCAGATGTGTCTTCTCCTGCCTGGACAAACTCCAGTTTGGCACCCCATCCAGGGCCTGCCTGTGGTCAGGGCCAAGTGTTCCCTCCTCCATGAAGGCCTTCACCCTCCCTATGCCCTCAGGAGGCCGCCTGCTGTGACCTTCCGTGTCACCTCTAGTGTGAAGCCAGACCCACCTGATGCCCTCAGGTGGAGGCCTGGCAGTGCCTGCACCCACCCCCACCTTCCCCAGCAACCACTTCCTGCTGTTCCAGCCAAAACCTCCTCTTGGCCGGTCTGGTGGCTCACACCTGTAGTTCCAGCACTTTGGGAAGCCGAAGTGGGTGGAACACCTGAGGTCAGGAGTTCAAGACCAGCCTGGCCAACATGGTGAAACCCCGTCTCTACTAAAAATATAAAAATAGCTGGACATGGTGGCACATGCCTGTAATCTCAACTACTAGGGAGGCTGGGGCAGGAGGATCACTTGAACCTGAGAGGCAGAGATTGCAGTGAGCCAAGATCATACCACTGCACTCCACCTGGGCAAGAATAGCGAAACTCTATCTCAAAATAGAAATAATACGGAGCGATGGCTGTAGCCTCCTCTCAGCACCTGTTTCCATCCCTCTGGCCAGTGCGTGCTGAGCACGAGTGACCCAAGCTTGCTGGGACACTTGAGGATACAGCCACGCCCCGCTGGGCTGACGTTCTAGGAGATAGAAGGAAACAAACATAGAAGGCAGAATAAGCGGGTGACGGAGCATCAGGAGTGCTGAGCGCCATGGGGAGTCAGACAAGGAAGAAGAGTCCAGGGCAGGTTGCCATTTAAGCAGGGGGCGCTGGGGTCTCCTCATGGTTCCTTCTCAGCTCAGTTGCACCAGATTCTTGTTGAGTCAGGTCAGTTCCCCACTGTCCTCTCTCTGCCCCAGCTGACTGCTGTTCCCAGCCTTCCCTGGCCATGCTCCACACACCAGCTCTGCAGCCAGGCCCTTTGTTCTCACGGTGTCCTCCCTGCCTGCAGGGCTCATGCATGGGAAGTTGCCTGGGCAGCCTCAGTGTTGGAGGGTTCAGTGCCTGCCCCTGACTCTCCATGAGGCCCCTCTCCCAGTGCCTGATACTCTGGTATGAAACTCTGGGCCGACACTCCTGAGTCCTTTCCTCCATGAGGCCTGACCCCGTCTGTCCTTGCTGGGCCTGCCGAGTTCGGTTTTAGCAAGAATCCTGATAAATCAGTTTATGGAGAATGACCCACCCTTGATATCTGATCCAATTCCTCATCTCCCACCTTGATCTCGTCACCCTGATGGCCTCCTGCAAGATCCCCGCTGAGCGGCTCTAGCGAGAATCCCTTACTCTCGATGGCTCCCCTGACCAACTTCCCATCCGCTGACCCTTTCGATGCCATCAGCCCCCAGCTGTGGTTGTTGAATTCAGAGGTGAGCTCCTCTCACCACTCTCTTGAATAAAGCTTTTCTCACCATTTTAACAAGTCCTTAGCATAATCTTTCCTTAACAAACCCCTGCCCCACCCAGAATTATGGGTGCTGGGGGCAAGTTTTTAACCTCCTGAGATCCAGTGAAGCAGCAGGAAGGGGCCAGGGCAGGGCGGGGTATGCTTGAGGGTGGGGTCCTGGGTCTGCCCCCACTGTAGGGAGGGACCCCACAGAGGGGTTTAAAGCCACGGGCAAGTGGGAGGCTGGGTCCACAGCCAACCCTAAGCAGCTCATCAGCTCAGGTCAGGAGGAAAGCTGGGTCAGGGCTAGAGGATGTGGGGCTGCTGGAGGCTGCTCCTGTGCTGACATATTAACTCCCTGAGGCCAGGGGAAGGGGGCATGGTCACTCATTACCAAGGTCACTTATGTAACCTAGGGCGTATATAGGAGCCTGGCTGAGGACACACTTGCCAGCCTGCACTTCGCCACCAGAGTGCCGCTCCCTCTCAGGATGATGGTGAGTACCCAGACCCCATGCAGAGAGGCCTCGATGACTGCTCTCCTGGTGGCCAGCTGCTCCCGTCCTCTTCCCACTGGTGCTGGGCAGCCCTGCTTGTCCAGGTCAGAGGGCTCCTTCCTCCCTGCTTCGGTCCAGCCAGGCAAGAGTCAGGAGCTGCCAACCCCTAGGCTCCCTGTGGACTCAGTCTCCTCCCAAGGCTGCTTCTGCCTCTTGAGGGTGCCCACGGGTGCCGCTCAGGCATGGTGGCCCCTGCACCCTGGAAGCAGGCGTCTGCTGACATTTGCTCTGCAGATAAGGACTGGGGAGTGAGAGCCTGGGACTCTCAGAGGCCAGGGTGATGATGTGGGAGAGGCTGTGCCCTCTTGTGTGCCCGACCAGGTCGAGCAGAGGCAGGCCTGGAGTCTACAGCCACCATGGGAATGTCTGTGCTTCCTTGATGGTGAAAGGGGCTCAATCCTCCACCTACCCAGGGCCCAGACCCTTCCCTGGTCTACCGACCTGACGTGGACCCAGAGGCAGCCAAACACAAGGGCAGCTTCCGGAACTACACCGTGAGTTCCTTGTCGCCCTGCCCTGCCCCATCCACACCCTGGGGAGCAGCACCTGCCCTTCACACAGCTCCAGGGGTGCCCTATGGTAACCCCCACCCCCATCACACCCTGTGGGTCTGCCTGGGAGAGGGTAGGCATGGGGCCCCGTGTACAGGGTGAGGGGGTGGCATCAGCCTCCGATGACCTCTGGCTTGCAGTCAGGTCCCCTCCTGGACCGTGTCTTCACCACCTACAAGCTCATGCACACGCACCAGACGGTGGACTTTGTCAGGAGCAAGGTAGGCATTTCTTGCTGCCCCATGCAACCTCTCAGGGACTCTTGCCCTCAGCCCCCTGCACCCACCAGGCACTGAGGGGATGGAGAGGCCTGTCTCTGCACCCCCAGACAGGGGCATGGGCCTGCCCTGCACCCTCGGACAGGCGCTGGGCCTGCTGACCCTGGGCCACGCTGCCTTCTCCTCCACCCCCAGCATGCCCAGTTTGGGGGCTTCTCCTACAAGAAAATGACAGTCATGGAGGCTGTAGACCTGCTGGACGGGCTGGTGGATGAGTCCGACCCGGATGTGGACTTCCCCAACTCCTTCCATGCCTTCCAGACAGCAGAGGGTATCCGGAAGGCCCACCCAGACAAGGGTGAGCCCCCATGCCCCGCTGTGGTGAGGTGGGGGTGCTGCCTCCAAGGAGCAGAATGCAGGGCCTGAGGGGTAGAAGGGGACAGTGGGGGTCCCAGGCCTCCTCCAGCATCCCTGCCTGGGTTGGGGAGCAGGCCCTGGACCCCTCCTGGCTCTCAGCCCCCCCAAGCCTCCTTGTCCTCTGTCTTGGCCCCTGCACTCCCCAACTCACCCTGTCCATCTTCCCTCCCAGACTGGTTCCACCTTGTTGGGCTCCTGCATGACCTGGGGAAGGTCCTGGCCCTGTTTGGGGAGCCCCAGGTAAGGGCTAGTGGTGGGGGGTGAGGAGGTTTGTTTGTCAAGGCAAGGTGGGGGTCAGGGTGGCCTCGGTGCTTGGCCTGGGATACTACATGAGGGGGCAGGCCAGTGCCCCCAAGGTCGCCTGTCACTCTGTAGTGGGCGGTCGTTGGAGACACCTTCCCCGTCGGATGCCGGCCCCAGGCCTCTGTGGTTTTCTGCAACTCCACCTTCCAGGACAATACTGACCTCCAGGATCCAAGATACAGGTGCTCCCCGCTGCCCAGGGCTGGCCCCCACCCACCCTACGTGACTCCCACTCACCCTTGTCTCTCACTGCAGCACAGAACTCGGCATGTATCAGCCCCACTGCGGGCTCGATAGGGTCCTCATGTCCTGGGGCCATGATGGTGAGGCCAGAAGCGGGCAGTGGGGCGGTGGGGGGACAGTGGGGCAGAGGTGGTGCCTGGTGGTGACACCCTCTCCCCACAGAGTACATGTACCAGGTGATGAAGTTCAACAAGTTCTCGCTGCCCCCGGAGGTAGGTAGGGGGAGGGGTAATCCCACCCCATCAGCCCACCCTGCCAGGTCTCTGCAGCCCTGCCCGTGAGCTGCTGGGTGTGGCCTTCCCTGCAGGCCTTCTATATTATCCGGTTCCACTCCTTCTACCCCTGGCACACTGGCAATGACTACCAGCAGCTATGCAGCCCGCAGGACCTGGCCATGCTACCCTGGGTGCAGGAGTTCAAGTACGGTCACCTCTGGGCGGGTTGTGGGAGTGGTGGGGACTGGAGGGGGTCTTCACAGGGCTTATGGCCCCTCCTGGCTGCAGCAAGTTCGACCTCTACACCAAGTGCCCGGACCTGCCGGATGTGGACACGCTGCGGCCCTACTACCAGGGGCTCATTGACAAGTACTGCCCTGGCATCCTGAGCTGGTGACCCTCCCGCCACCCGAGCTGCTGCTAGAGCCAGGCCTGGCCCTCCGCATGCCTGGAGGGGTCTGGTCCTGGGCAGACAGCCACCATCAGGGTTCACCTTGGTGGGGGACCCCACTGGCCCCCTTAGGGTCACCACCCTTCATGGCCACTTGTGCCTCGTGGCAATAAAGACCTGGAATGAGACTGTGTTTCTGAAGCGTCACTGGGTGTTACTGCAGCAGGGTGGCCCAGGCCGAGGGACCCTGTGGGCAAGGTGGAGGCCAACTCCCAGGCTCTCAGATTGTTGTATCCCACTCAGCACAGAAAGTCAACACCAGAACAAAAGTAGGCCAAATTGCAGGGTTTATTGCCGGCGACCACGGGGAACTCACGTCTCTCCAACCCGTGGCAGAGAAAGAAGAGTGACAAGATCTTTTTATACCCACAAAACCACCTTGGGAGTGGGGGTGAGGAGCAGAGATGGGAATGAAAGCTGTCAATCACCTCCTAGGTTGAGACGAGGGTGAGGGGGCTCCAGACATTCCAAGGGCCAGGGGACTTTTGTCATTCCGATTGCCACCTAAGTGGTTTACAGAGGTCAAGATAAACATTAGTTTATACATTATTGGGACAGGTGTGGGGTCCACATAATTTTAGGTTACTTGACGCCAGGATGGAATTATCTGGGGGTGCTTACTTTGGTAAACAAAGGCCAGCAATTCTGGCAGTTACAGATAAGAGAAAGTATGCAGCCTGTCCTCTCTTTGCATTTTGCAAGGTAATCTTAGTAGTTTCCAGAAGCCCTGGCTAGCAGTCATTGTGAGGAGAATGGAAACAGTTTTCCCATTTTAAAATGGCATTGTACTGGTTCTAATTCTAGGCCAGCTATATCACATTCCCCCCTGTTCTTATAACATAAATTAAATCTTTAATAGGGGTCCTCTTTTTGACACAGAGGCCCATAGTTGGATCTTAGAACCATTAATTTTACCGAATTTATACTTTCCTGGATAAATCTGCATAGTATGTTTAAAAGGCATGGTGTAAATGTTAAT